TTTCTTCATGTGCACAAAGCATTCAGCCATGTTAATGTGATTGGACACCAGCTGAGCAGAACTCAGCTCTGCTTAGTGAAGTCCAAAGATAGCCAGTGCTGAACTGCAGTTAAGCTGGTTAAGGTGCACTAGGATGATTCAATTTGGTTGAGTTATTGTTGTCACATGCACTGAGATTCAGTGAAAAATATTGTTTTGCATGCCATACAGGCAGATCGTACCATACAAGCTGTATCAAGGTAGCAGAACAAAGTGCAGAGTACAGTATTGCAGCCTCAGCGAAGGTGCAGAGAGAGATCAACATTAACATTTGAGAGGTCCATTCGAAAGTCTGATAACAGCGGGGAAGAAACTGTTCTTGAATCTGTTTGTATGTGTTTTCAAACTTTTATATCTTCCGCCCGACAGAAGAGGGTGGAAGAGAGAGTATAACCAGGGTGGGAGGGATCTTTGATTATGTTGGCTGCTTTCCCAAAGCAGCAGGAGTTAATGGATATAAGGCTGTTTTTTTTTCATTTTTATTCTTTTTATTGTGGGATGTGGGCACCGCTGGCTGGCCAGCATTTATTGCCTGTCCCTAGTTGCCCTTGAGAAGGTGGTGGTGAGCTGCGTTCTTGAACTGCTGCAGTCCACCTGCTGCGGGTTGACCCACAATGCTATTAGGGAGGGAATTCCAGGATTTTGACCCAGCGACAGTGAAGGAATGGCAATATATTTCCAAGTCAGAATGGTGAGTGGCTTGGGGGGGAACCTGAAGGCGGTGGTGTTCCCATGTATCTGCTGCCCTTGTTCTTCTAGATGGAAGTGCTTGTGTGTTTGGAAGATGCTGTTTGAGGATCTTTGGTGAGTTTCTGCAGTGTATCTTGTAGATAGTACACACTGCTGCTACTGAGTGTCAGTGGTGGAGGGAGTGGATGCTTGTGGATGTGGTGCCAATCAAGCGGGCTGCTTTGTCCTGGATGGTGTCAAGCTTCTTGAGTGTTGTTGGGGCTGCACTCATCCAGGCAAGTCGGGAGTAATCCATCACGCTCCTGACTCATGCCTTGTAGACGGTGGACAGGTTTTGAGGAATCAGGAGGTGAGTTACTTGCCGCAGTATTCCCAGCATCTGACCTGCTCTTGTAGCCACTGTGTTAATGTGGTGAATCCAGTTGAGTTTCTGGTCAATGGTAACCCCCAGGATGTTGATAGTGGGGGATTCAGAGATGGTAACACCATTGAATGTCAAGGGGCGGTAGTTAGATTGTGTCTTACTGGTGATGGTGATAGCCTGGCATTTGTGCGGCATGAATGTCACTTGCCAATTGTCATCCCAAGCCTGAATATTGTCCAGATCTTGTTGCACTTGGACCCAGACTGCTTCAGTATCTGAGCAGTTGTGAATGGTGCTGAACATTAGCCTCTGTGTTGGATAAGAGAGGCCATTTGTGCCATCTTCTATCTTATTGCAGTTCTTGGGATAAGGGTCGCAGTTTTGTTATTTGAAAAAAATAACGGTGTCATTCTTTCTTTCCTATACCTTGGAGGTCAGGACATCTTCATGACAGAGGAACAGAAAAAATACTACAATGCTATGAAGAAACTGGGTTCAAAGAAGCCCCAGAAGCCAACCCCCAGGCCTGTGGTAAGAACTGGAGGAAAGGTGCTATAATGTTGAGCTTGGGAGATGTCCTTTAAAGCCATCATGTATAATACTAGATGGCTGGGTCTTACCAAACTTTGCTCATTGCACTGGTTCAGTCATGCCACTGCATAAGCTAAGGTCATTTGTGAAGGTTTTAAAAACTGTTGGGACTTAAGTGGAACTGGAACATTAAATCATTTTCTTCAAAAAGAGGAAACTGTAACTGTGAGTGGCAGGACCTTTAGGAGCATTGGTTTACAGAGGGATCATGGGCTGCAAGTCCATAGCTCCCTGAAAGTGGCGACACAAGTGGATAAGGTGGTAAGGGAGGTGCTTGCCTTCATCGATCAGGGTGCTATGTATAAAAGTTGGCAGAATGTGAACCTGGGTCTCTGGAGTATTAGCTTAATGGGTAATAACACTCAGCCATCACCTTCCTGCTTACCTGTGATTGCAAGATGTAGGAGATGGAGGATGCCTGCCCCTAAAGTATGTTCTGCCCTTTGGTATGTTGATAGCTGATTTGATCGTGGGCTCAATTCCACTTTCCAACCTGCCACTTGGCAACCCAAAATCCATCAAACTCAGCCTTTAATGACCCACTCTCCATTCTCTGGAGTAGAGATTTCCAAAGATTAAAGACTCTCTGAAAGATGGAATTCCTATTTATCTTTGTCTTAAACAGGAGACCTTCTTATTTTAAATTTGTGCACCTTGGTTTGACATTTCCCACAAGAGGAAACATCTTTTCGGCATCTACCCTGTCAAGCCCCCTTTGAAACGTGTGTGTTCCGATGTCAATCACTGGTCATTCTTCTAAATTCAAAGAGTTTGGGCCCAATTTACTTAACCTTTCCTCATACGATATCATTTTAATCCCAGGAAATAGCCCAAAGTGAACCTTCTGTGCACTGCATCCAATGCAGATTTACCCCTCCCTAAGTAGGGAAAACAAATCTGTAGACGCCGGTTAAGGGTTTTACGGGACTTCCCTACTTTTAGACTCCATCCCCTTTTGCAATAAAATAATTACGTGCTGTGTCTGTATGTACAAGGACACCCAGATCTATATGCACCACCAAACTCTGATGTCTCTCTCCATTTTAATATTCAACTTTTCTGCTATTCCTCCAAAAGTATTTTTCCTACATTATGTTCTACCCACCAATTTTTTTTTCCCCGCGTTAACTATATTCCTTTGCAAGCTTCTTGTGTTCTCCTCCAAATTTGCTTTCGTACCAATTTTCCAGAAAATTAGATGACAATGTCCCTTATCCAATCTTTAATATAAGCTATAAATGGTCAAGGATCTAGCACTGGCTCCTGTGACATTCGATTAGCTATCGTTTGTTGACCTGAAAATGGCCCAGTTCCCCTGACACTTTTCCCTGTTCTTCAGCCAGTTCTCCATCCTTGCTTTACTGTAATCTGATTTTCTAAATGACGCACTATTACTTTCTTAGTTATGGGTTGTGCCAATTTTCCAATGACAGATATTAGGTGAAATGGCCTTTAGTTTTCTATTCTCTCCTCCCCCTTTACTTTCTTAAGTAGAGGTGTTACATTTACAACTCTCTACCCTACTGGAACCTTTCCAAAAGCAAGGGAATTTTTGAAGGATTAAGACCAATGCATCCTCTATCTCTCCGGCCAGAACTTTTAAAACTCTAGGATGTAGGTCGACGGTTTCTTGAGACCTAACAGCCTTTATTCCCATTATTTTTTTCTGGTACTTTATCTCTGGTGATCATGATTGCTCTAGGTTTCTCCGTCCTTTTTACCGTTTAATTTTATACTACCCTTGGGATGTTTTTTGTGACCTCTAGTAAGAAAAAAAATGTAAAATACATGCTCAAAGTCTCTGCCATTTCCTCAGTTTCCATTTGTCATTTTCATCTTCCATTTGTTTCCTTTTTTTCGCTTGTTTTGATTTTTTTTCTCTTATTTATGCTTTCAGTTGGCATCTTCTGATCCTTTGTTTCATTTCTTGCCCCATCACTTTTGGTCTTGGAGGATTAACTTTTCTATCATTGAGTCTCCCCATTGTAGAGATATATATAGCACGGAAACAGATCCTTCGGCCCAATTCGTCTGTGCTGACCAGGTTTCCTAAAATGAACTAGTCCCAAATGCCTGAGTTTGGCCCATATCCCTCTAAACTTTTCCTATCCATGTGCCTATGCAAATGTTGTTTAAATTTTGTGATTGTACTTCTACTAGCAGCTTGTTCTATATACGCACCACCGTCAGTGTGAAAAAGTTGCCCCAGTGTGTCTTGTAGAACAAAGAAACCTAGGGGTGTCGGTACATAGCTCCTTGAAAGTGGCATCACAGGTAGACAGGGTGGATGAAGAAGGCATTTGGCATGCATGCCTTCATCGGCCAGAGCACTGAGTATAGGAGTTGGGATGCTATGTTCTGTATGTGCAAGACATTGGTGAGGCCACATTAGGAGTACTGTGTACAATTCTGGTTGCCTGCTATAGGAAGGATTTTATTAAACTGGAAAGGGTGCAAAAAACATTTACAAGCGTATTAACGAGACTGGAAGGTTTGAGTTATAAGGACAGGCTGGATAGGCTGAGACATTTTTCCCTGGAGCATAGGAGGCTGAGGGGTGACCTTATAGATATTTATAAAATCATGAGGGGCATAGATAAAGTGAATAGATCACAGAACTTCCACTTGTCCTTATTCAAGACCTATTATATCTCTAACTATTCCCAGGCCTGATGGAAGATCACAGACCTGAAACGTTCACACCATCTCTCTTTCCACAGATATTGACTAACCTGCTGAGTATTTCCTGCATTTTCTGTTTTTACTTCAGATTTCCAGAATCTGTGGCACTTTGAGCTCCCTTATCAATTGTTTCTTCCTAGCAAACCTTTTCCACATCCTCTCCATAACCTTGACATCTTTTGAAAAGCATGTTCTCCAGAACTGTACCCCGTACTGCAGCTGGGGTCTACTTTCTGGAGTGGAGGAAATGAGAGGTCATCTCATTGAAACATCTAGGATTCTTAAGGGGCTTGACAGGGTAAATGCTGAGAAGATGTTTCTTCTCATGGGAGAGTCCAGAGGGTATAGTCTCAGAATAAAGAGGTGCCAATATTGGGGAGGCGATGGCCTCGTGGTATTATTGTCACACTGTTAATCCAGAGACCCAAATGATGTTCTGGGGTCCTGGGTTCAAATCCTGCCATGGCAGATGGGGGAATTTGAATTAAATAAATATCTGGAATTAAGAATCTAATGATGACCATGAATTGATTGTCAGGAAAAAACCATCTGGTTCACTAATGTCCTTTAGGGAAGGAAAACGCCATCCTTACCTGGTCTGGCCTACATGTGACTCCAGACCCACAGCAATATGGTTGATTCTGAACTGCCCTCTGGGCAATTAGGGATGGGCAATAAATGCTGGCCTAGCCAGTGACACCCTCATCCCATAAAGGAAAAAAAAAATTAAAATGGAGATGAGGAGGCATTTTTCCTCTCAGAAGGTTGTGAGTCTTTGGGACTTCTTGCTACAGAGAGCTGTGGGGGTAGAATCCTTGTTCATGTTTAAGGCTGAGATAGATTCTTGACCGGTTGGGGAACAGGCATTGCATTTTTGAAATACAAACAAGGGCCGGACTTATACAATTAAAAGTAGAGCCTTGGGTAGTGTTGTGGGTAGCCTTGGGTAGTGTTTCAAATTCTTTGAAATTTGCATCACATGTAGTTAATGTGGTTAAGAAGACGTTTAGCACACTTGCTTTCATTGCTCAGACCTTTGAGTATAGGAGTCTGGATGATATGTTGAGGTTGTACAGGATGTTGGTGAGGCCTCTTTCTAATCGACTGTGTGCAGCTCTGGTCACTCTGCTTCAAGAAGGAATTATTAAGCTGGAGAGAGTTCAGAAGAGAATGGAGGGTTTGAGTAATAAGGAGAGGCTGCATAGTCTGGGCCCTTTTTCATTGGAACATAGGAGGTTGAGGGGTGACCTTATAGAGGTTTATTAAAGCATGAGGGGTATAGATAAAGTGAATGGCAGATTTATTTTCCCTAGGGTGGGGGATTTCAAGCCTAGGGGGGGCATATTTTTAAGGTGAGAGGAGAAAGATTTAAGAAGGAAATGAGGGTCAGCTTTATTTTACACAGAATGAACTGTGTGGAATGAACTGCCAGAGAATGCGGTGAATGTAGGCACAGTTACAACATTTAAAAGACATTTCGATAAGTACATGAATAAGAAATGTTTGGAGGAATATGGGGCCAAACATAGGCAGGTGGGACTAGTTCAGTTTGGGGTTATGGTCGGCATGGACCATGCTGTATGACTCTATAACTCTATGGCAGGACAGTGGATCAGCCATGATGGCCTACACCTGTTCCTATTTCTTGTGGTCTTATGGTCATAAATACTGGAAGAAATTGTTCTTACAAAACAATGTCTGTTTTCAAACCAAAATTTGACGGTGCTTAACTCTTGCATATTTTTTGTTTGCTCCTTCCCATTTCCTAGAATAAATTCCAAGGACTAATCTTCGACCTGGTTACAAAGCAAGCCTTTGACATTTTCATCATGTTCCTGATCTGCCTCAATATGTTGACGATGATGGTGGAGACAGATGACATGGATCAGTACAAGAAGAACATACTCTTCATCATCAACATGATCTTCATTGTGCTCTTCACCGCTGAGTCCGCTCTCAAAATCATCGCCCTTCGGCAGTACTTCTTCACCATCGGTTGGAACATATTTGATTTTGTGGTGGTGATCCTTTCCATTATCGGTAGGTATCACGGTTCCCGTGTTTCACTACTCATCCCTTTTGCTGAGAGATAAGGGCTATGAGCGTTGTTAGTGTATCCATGGAATCTTGCTAGGTATTCTCTCATTGGTGGTTTTTTGTTTCAAAGGCGCGAATGTATCTAACTGAGTTGGCACACAGCTGCAAGACTTTGGATTCAAAATGACTCGTTTTCTAAAGGAACATTTTAATCTAAATGATTGCTGCAAAGAGAGCTGTGTTACTGAAGCTCAGGACACATGCAAGAATGCCAAATCTCCCACAGTCACAACAATTTTTAGTACAGAAGAAATTGCTGATTGGCAGGTTTCTGACTGGCTGTGGAGAAAACAAGGTGGATTCAAAGCAATAGGTGCCCCAAGCTCCCTGGTGATTTTTTCCTTCATTCATGCATCACTAGCTAAACCAGTATTCATTGCCCATCCCTAATTGCCCTGAAGAAGATGGTGATGAGCTCCCTCCTTGAACCACGGCAGTCTTTGGGGTATAAGGACACACACAGTCCTTCTAGAAAGGAATTAAAACAACTTGACAACCAATCAGCACCCACTTGTCCTGTAGTACATATTGTTGTGACTGTTTGAAGTTTGGCACTCTTGCATGGGTTCTGATGAGTGCAAGATACAAAGCTTCAGTAATATGTCTCTCTTTTCAGACAGATTGAAGTTCTGCCCTCCCCACTAATTGTTTTAAATTCATTATTTATCATTGTGCTTCTCATATGGGACTCGAGCTCAGACCTCCTGACCCAGAGCTAATGGCACTACCACTGCATCACAAGAGCCCTGGAACATAGAACATACAACATAGAACATTACAGCACAGTACAGGCCCTTCGGCCCTTGATGTTGCGCCGACCTGTGAAACCAATCTGAAGCCCATCTAACTTACACTATTCCATTCTCATCCATATGTTTATCCAATGACCATTTAAATGCCCTTAAAGTTGACGAGTCCACTACTGTTGCAGGCAGGGCATTCCACGCCCTTACTATACTCTGAGTAAAGAACCTACCTCTGACATCTGTCCTATATCTATCACCCCTCAATTTAAAGCTATGTCCCCTCGTGCTAGCCATCACCATCCGAGGCAAAAGAGTTTCACTGTCCACCCTATCTAATCCTCTGATCATCTTGTATGTCTCTATTAAGTCACCTCTTAACCTTCTTCTCTCTAATGAAAACAGCCTCAAGTCCCTCAGCCTTTCGTCATAAGACCTTCCCTCCATACCAGGCAACATCCTGGTAAATCTCCTCTGCACCCTTTCCAATGCTTCCACATCCTTCCTATAATGCGGCGACCAGAACTGTACGCAATATTCCAAGTGCGGCCACACCAGAGTTTTGTACAGCTGCAACATGACCTCATGGCTCCAAAACTCAATCCCTCTACCAAAAAAACCTAACACACCGTACGCCTTCTTAACAACCCTGTCAACCTGGGTGACAACTTTCAGTGATCTATGCACATGGACACCGAGATCTCTCTGCTCATCCACACTACCAAGAATCTTACCATTAGCCCAGTACTCTGTATTCCTGTTACTCCTTCCAAAGTGAATCACCTCACACTTTTCCTCATTAAACTCCATTTGCCACCTCTCAGCCCAGCTCTGCAGCTTATCTATGTCCCTCTGTAACCTACAATATCCTTCCGCACTATCCACAACTCCACTGACTTTAGTGTCATCCGCAAATTTACTAACCCATCCTTCTACACCCTCATCCAGGTCACTTATAAAAATGACAAACAGCAGTGGCCCCAAAACAGATCCTTGCGGTACACCACTAGTAACTGAACTCCAGGATGAACATTTCCCATCAACCACCACCCTCTGTCTTCTTACAGTTAGCCAATTTCTGATCCAAACCGCTAAATCACCCTCAATCCCATGCCTCCATATTTTCTGCAATAGCCTACCGTGGGGAACCTTATCAAACGCTTTACTGAAATCCATATACACCACATCAACCGCTTTACCCTCATCCACCTGTTTGGTCACCTTCTCAAAGAACTCAATAAGGTTTGTGAGGCACGACCTACCCTTCACAAAACCGTGTTGACTATCCCTAATCAAATTATTCCTTTCTAGATGATTATAAATCCTATCTCTTATAATCCTATCCAACACTTTACCCACAACCGAAGTAAGGCTCACTGGTATATAATTACCAGGGTTGTCTCTACTCCCGTTCTTGAACAATGGGACAACATTTGCTATCCTCCAGTCTTCTGGCACTATTCCTGTAGACAATGACGACATAAAGATCAAAGCCAAAGGCTCTGCAATCTCCTCTCTAGCTTCCCAGAGAATCCTAGGATAAATCCCATCCAGCCCAGGGGACTTAACTATTTTCACACTTTCCAGAATTGCTAACACCTCCTCCTTATGAACCTCAATCCCGTCTAGTCTAATAGCCTGTATCTCAGTATTCTCCTTGACAACATCGTCTTTTTCCTGTGTGAATACTGACGAAAAATATTCATTTAGCGCCTCGCCTATCTCTTCGGACTCCACGCACAACTTCCCACTACTGTCCTTGACTGGCCCTAATCTTACTCTAGTCATTCTTTTATTCCTGACATACCTATAGAAAGCTTTAGGGTTTTCCTTGATCCTACATGCTAAAGACTTCTCATGTCCCCTCCTGGCTCTTCTTAGCTCTCTCTTTAGGTCCTTCCTGGCTAACTTGTAACTCTCAAGCGCCCTAACTGAGCCTTCACGCCTCATCTCTACATAAGCCTCCTTCTTCCTCTTGACAAGAGATTCAACTTCTTTAGTAAACCACGGTTCCCTCGCTCGACCACTTCCTCCCTGCCTGACAGGTACATACTTATCAAGGACATGCAGTAGCTGTTCCTTGAACAAGCTCCACATTTCAATTGTACCCAGCCCCTGCAGTTTCCTTCTCCATCCTCTGCATCCTAAATCTTGCCTAATTGACTCATAATTGCCTTTCCCCCAGCTATAACTCTTGCCCTGCGGTATATACCTATCCCTTTCCATCGCTAAAATAAACGTAACCAAATTGTGGTCACTATCACCAAAGTGCTCACCTACCTCCAAATCTAACACCTGGCCTGGTTCATTACCCAGTACCAAATCCAATGTGGCCTCGCCTCTTGTTGGCCTATCTACATACTGTGTCAGGAAACCCTCCTGCACACATTGGACAAAAACTGACCCATCTGAAGTACTCGAACTATAGCGTTTCCAGTCAATATTTGGAAAGTTAAAGTCCCCCATAACAACTACCCTGTTACTTTCGCTCCTATCCAGAATCATCTTTGCAATCCTTTCCTCTACATCTCTGGAACTTTTTGGAGGCCTATAGAAAACTCCCAACAGGGTGACCTCTCCTTTCCGGTTTCTAACCTCAGCCCATACTACCTCAGTAGACGAGTCCTCATCAAACGTCCTTTCTGCCACTGTAATACTGTCCTTGACTAACAATGCCACACCTCCCCCTCTTTTACCACCTTCCCTGATCTTACTGAAACATCTAAACCCCGGAACCTGCAACAACCATTCCTGTCCCTGCTCTATCCATGTCTCCGAAATGGCCACAACATCGAAGTCCCAGGTACCAACCCATGTTGCAAGTTCACCCACCTTATTCCGGATGCTCCTGGCGTTGAAGTAGACACACTTCAAACCACCTTCCTGCCTGCCAGTACACTCCTGCAACCTTGAAACCTTATTTATGACCTCACTACTCTCAACCTCCTGTACACTGGAGCTACAATTCAGGTTCCCATCCCCCTGCTGAATTAGTTTAAACCCTCCCAAAGAGCATTAGCAAATCTCCCCCCCATGGAAGGACTTGCATTTGATTCATCATTTAATCAACATGCTCAAGCATGTAATAACACACTTCCAGAGCAAGGGGGACTTGAACCCAGGCCTTCTGACTCAAAGGTAGGGACATTACTACTGTGCCACAACAGCCAACTGACAGTAGGTCCAATTCATCCATACATTGTATAGGTTTGCCTGCAGATTTGATGAGTGCACACAGTTGCTAGAAATGACAGTGCAATCCCAAGACAGGCAGAAACCCATCAGTTCACCAGAATCTAACCTGGGGTTTGCAAAATCTAAAGTAGCTACACTGCAACAACTGAAAGGTCTCCCCCTTTCATCTAGACTGTAACTCCTCATCTCCCAATGGCATGTTGCTAGCTTACCCCTCCCCCATTGTACGTGCACTCTCATTTTTCCCGAATCCCTACAGTGTGGGGCAGATCTTTCAGCCCATTGAGTCCACACCAAGCCTCCAAAGAGCATGCCACCTACCCTATCCCTGTAAAACCCATGGCTACTCCACCTAATCTACACATCCCTGTACACAATGGGGTAATTTAGCACAACCAATCCACCCAACCTGCACATCTTTGGACTGCAGGAGGAAACCCACACAGACACAGGGAGAACACAGTGCAAACTCCACAGAGTTACCCAAGGCTGGAATCAAGCTCAGGTCCCTGGTGCTGACCACTGAGCCACCATGCTGCCTCAGTGATTCAAACTTATTAAGTAACTTCTACAATTCCATAGAGACTGAAATCCCTACAGATATTTTGTACTCTCCTAGTAGCCTCCTGACAGTTCATAGATACTTCCTCGACACATAATGTCCAGCTACAGGGCCATGGTGAGGCTACAACTGGAGTATTGTGTGCAGTTTTGGCCTCCTTATTTAAGGAAGGATGTTCTGGCGACAGAGTAAGTGCAACAAAGGTTTCCTGGGAGGGCAGGACTGACGTATGAAGAGAGACTGGATGGGTTAGGACTGTATTTGCTCGCATGTAGAAGAATGGGTGACACGGTGGCTCAATGGTAAGTGCTGCTGCCTCACAGAACCGGGGCCTGAGGTTTGATCCCAGCCTCAGGTGACTGCCTGTGTGGAGTTTGCACATTCTCCCCATGTCTGTGCGGGTTTTCCTCCCACAGGCCAAAAATGTGCAATTTAGGATGGAT